TTAGTACCTATTTAATTAATTTCAATCATGACAGCAAAAGATAAGGATGCTTGTTTCTTTTAAACTATTTGATGAAAACGTTACATAAAATTGGGGTTGCATAATCATCCGAAATTATTATTATATTTTTGACTGGAAATTACAGGATTTATGCAATTTTAGTTTAATTAATGTCATATAAAACTGACTGCTCGTACAAGTTTGCTTAAAACATGCAACTCAAAAAACCCCAAAATGGCAGCTCAAGAAGTAGATCACGCGTGTCCTGATCTTCTTATATAGACCTTGGAACAGTCGGAAGCGCGGCCATTTTGGAACCATACGTAACATTAACCCTTATTTCTTTTACTACGATTACTAAAATTGAAGTTCATAATTTAAGAATTAAATTATAGTGGTAGAAAATAATATAAAAGTATTTATATTATTTATACTCGTACAATTTCAAAACTATTTTCTGTAATAATTTGTTTCTGACTTAACGGATATTTTGATATTATTGACGACAAAAGTTTAAAATCATTGATTTCCTTACCTGTCCATTATTTTTGTTTGACGGAGTTGAATTGTTTGGACCACGTGGCATGAAAAATTTTATCAAGGTTCTAATGAGAATGTGCAGACAACTGAACGTGTGAAAGAAGACCACTGAGTCAAGATCGTTTACACGTGCAACTATCTATGTTGCTGACGTCGACGGACACACACCATTTGTATATTGTGATTGGCTAATTTAAATTAGCAAGCAGTGACACTAGTGAGACTTTATTAAACTAATTTTTTCTCATTTTTTTCTTTAAGGCGTGAAATATTATTTTGTATCGTAAATGGTACTTGAAATATTATAATGTACTGAAAATGTATTAAAAATCTAAATGTACTTTCAATTTACTGGAAAGGGCAAAATGTACCAGAAAAGCACAAATGTATTAGGAACGGCAACAATGGAGTTCACCCAATTTTAATTAATAACTCCTGTGCCATCTGTCAGCAATTTTCAAAATTTTTTACGGCGGTTTCTATATTTGAAGCATGAAGACAAATAAAGTCAGCCAGTGATTTTAACTTTTACTACTTTGGGAAAAACACGCAAGTTTCTGCTGTACCCCTTTGTATAAGGAAATTCATAAGTTCACATACGAACAATACTTTGTTATATAGATCTGTCTTCAACAGTAGCCTATAATTAAATATTTTTTATAGAACAGAAGATTAACCATTTTATTTATCATAAATGTTTGAATAATAATAGATTTCGATAATTACTAGTAATTTTCTCTTAGCAGGAATAAACACTATCTATTATAATAGATGTGTTTTTGAAATGACAAAAGCAAAGAACACTTATAATTAAATTATCATTTATAATTATTTGTATTCAAGACATTATCTAAAATTATTGTAATTAAATACGGTGTCTTGTGTTAGTCATTTATTTCCCTATTTTGACTTCGATTTTACTTATGTTTATTAACTAATATAATATGAAACATTGTCTGATGGCAATTATTTCAATAATAATAAACGTATGGAAAATTACTATTTTCGTCTTCTGTTTATATGGGAAAACAGTAATTATTTTAATTGCTGTCTTTGTAATTTAAAAATAGCAAAATAATTACAAATGGATTTTCCATTGTAGTAGTTTAGAGTCACGACATCAAGTCAGAAGTAAAAGAAGCTAACATGACACATTATTAACTTTACTCTTTTCATAATTATGATAAGAAAAATTTTAACTTTATTATTAATCTTCTATAAATTCAAGTTATTTTACGCTTTGATTCATTCTTATTAGGCTCGGTAGTAACTAGGTATACCTGGAACCAACCTTTCATCTTGTAATAATAAAACCTTATTTAATTTTAAATTACTTCACAATACCATAACTATAATTTACTTTACTGACCGTGTAATTCTATATTTTTTTATTCAACTGTTCAGTAATAAACGTTTGCAGGGGCTGTATTTAATTTCGTACTGAAAATGTCATTAGTCTGCTGTTTGCAATGCTGATAAAATTCCAAATCTAACGATCTGCTTGTGAGAATTGTATCAGCAAAGCAATCTGAAAAATTTTTGATAATGAAAACTTTACGAGATATTTTAATTTGTACATACACTACTGTGACCGAAGGGTCGGCACCGGATAAGCGATACCTTCGGAGTTCTAACACAGTTGTCGCACCACATGAGCGTTTTGTTGTATCGTGAGAAGTCGCATACGTAAGCGGTCGCATTAGAGTCAGGCAGACAGAGTATCTAGAAGAATGCACTAAATTACTGATTTAACGTAAACATATACCCATTATCTATGTAAACTAATTGCACGTATCTATATATATAATCGAGATGGGTTGATAATAATAATAATAATAAGTATAGAGCCCAAACGATTAAAAGATGAAAGTGGAAATTTGGTACACTGTTAGGGTACGTCACGAAAATGCACACTAAGAAGGTATTTTTCGATTTTCTTTCCGCGGGGGAGAGAGAAAGGATTAAGGCTTAACACTTCCATCAACAATGGAAGTGTGAGAATCAGGGTTTAATTAAGCATCAAAGCTTAAACCGTTTTCCGACAACGGGACGGTGAGTCCCGCTAACAGGGTCAGTTAATGGCGATTTAGGAGGGCGAAAATCGAGTGGGAGGTCGCAGATAAATCGATAAGGTGTTGGCCGAGTACGAGTAAACAAAGATGTTTAAGATATTATATAAATTTAATTAACAAATGCTACGTAAAAACATTACAAAGAACAAGATTTATTATAATAATAACTTCAAACCGCAATTCCAATTGGTGGTCAGCTGAATTGCATCTTGCGTATTTCCGTATTTCCGACAGAGTAGAGTCTCTTATCCTCATTAATATTTGTTTTTTAATTAGTCCTAGTCTACTTGAGAGAAAAAAGAGAGTTCAACTTACTAAGTTGTAGATTGTAAAATCTTGCTTCGTCGTCTGTCGTTGGCGGTCAATGTTAAAGGTAGTTGATCGGTTAATTCTTGTTGTCTTAAAGGCCACCTCAATAACTGGCCTGGAGCCTTCTTTATACCAAATTTGAGGAGGTGAGAACTATGACATTATTAATGATTTATACGGACATCTGTTAGTGTTTTGATGTCTGGATCTAGCTAGTACGGACAACTGACACAGAGAAGTTTGTTTAATTTATTGATATTGGTGTCTGGAAGATACGATTTTATAATATAACTTTGTATAGGTTTGACGGCTCTCATCCATAAATTAACATTCAGCTGACAATAATTTCTGTAAACTGGTCAACGATCTGGATATTGATTATATCAAACTTCGCGTTTGACTGTGAACAAGTCGATTTATTGCTGTAACCATGTGCCACGTGCAACCAAAGAGGGGACAAGAACCATTTCTTATTTCCGTCTTGTTGATATTAACGTCTATAGAATTACCTTTAAACAATTATTCTTTTTTATTCGGGGAGAGCGTCTCCGTCATTGACCGCAGTGGTTCTCCTTTTTCCCTTTAAGAGAAAGTCCCGAGGTTTATACTGTTTTAAAACAGAAAAGGGTTTCAGACTTTCACAGAAGTGTTAAGTAACAATGGAAGTGTTACGTAACAATAGAATTGTCAAGAGAAAGCGAAGTGCAAGACGCAGATGCAGTTTTTTCAAAGATATTTTTATTTTTAATTTTTAATTTTTAATATTTTAATTTTTGACACAACACAAAGTATTATAAATCGGTTTACTATTTAAATGACTACAATGTCGATACTTCATTTCTAATTAGAAACTCTCACGAATTTCAACTAAAAAAGAAGTATGAAGTCGTGTTTCTATAGCTACAATGGCAATAAAGAATGCGCAACACATTTAAATCACATCGACACGAAGAAATGAATTTCTTGATTATTCAAAGTAACGGTACAGATCAAATCATATTCTGTTCTTCTTATTTTTACAAATTTCAATTGTTTTTTTTAAATATAGGTGGGTATTATTAGTTTTGGTTATTTAGTTAAATGATATTCTAGTTTTCATCTTTTCTTCTTATGAACAATTTCTAAAAAATCTTACAGTTAATATACATTTAGTATTTTCTATTATTCTATAGAATATCTTGTCACTGGCGAGTAAATTAAACCACTGAACACAAGTTGAGAGTTAAACTTCAGTAACATTCAGCCACGTGGATTTTTTCACGTGGAGTTTTTTCACGTTTCCAATTTTTATAAAGAGATCAGTTTATCATACGAAATTCTTCTGAAAGTTATCGTGATAGATCTGTAGAATTGTGCTTATAAAAGTTTAAAATTTATAAAAGAAAAAAAAATTAGTCCAATTATAACTCTAAGAATAAATATTTAATGTTTGGTATAAATCGTGCAGGTGATTAAACACGTTCTCCTGAAAGACGGCTGCTTCAATAAAATCGGGAACAAAGCAGGTAATAGAGCGACCGTGTCTGCAAAAGCCTCCTCTTTTGTATTTATTTATATGAGGTGATATATATACAGTTTTTGTTTTATTTTTCAAAGTGCCTGTACAGATTGTCTACGTGTTGCGTTACTTCATTCTATTAAATAACTGAATCACCCTGTTCATATGTTTTCTGTCTGGTAATCTTTATTTTGAAAAAGTATTTACCAAAAGGCTTTGACTGCTTTTAATGCAGAGGTAACTAACACTTTTTATTTTATTTTAACAATTGACTATTTTTGTTAGCTCGTATTTGACAGTCACGCGTGTGTAAATAATTTTCACAATAATGTATTGTAATATTATCCAGTAACTTTATTTATGTCGTGAAATAATAAACATGATAATTGTTTTATTTGAAAAAACGTTTGTTCTTGGTGCAACTATAATTGTACAGTAGATTTAATATGTTTATAAGATAACTGTGTCTATTTTTTCAAATATTGATATTTTTTTAGTTTTTCTTAAAATAATTTAAATTATTTCCTTTTTAATAGTTTTTCAACAAGTAAACTTATAACAGCAATACCATATCCACATACCAATAATATTAAAGCGCTGCAAATGTCTTCCATACTAAGTGAGTGATATGTTTCTTTGTTGCTGCTTTCATCCGTAGGTAAATCGTTCCGTTCCAGTTTTTTGTATATCCCATTATCTACTAATCTTGTAATTCTATATGAAAGAAAAATTAAAATCTGAATTAAATATATACTATATTATTTATTATTCGGCAAAAATATTGTTAATAAATAATTTTCTAAATTTCTGAAACTAATATTTAATTCTCGTAGTAAATTTGTAAATGTCCATATCTCGAGTTATCTCGGGCATAGGCATTCACTTATAACTTTTTCAAAAATGTATGGATCAGCATGTATACATCGTTATCTGTGGTACCTGCATATTTCATGAACAATTTTTGCTGCAAAAATATTTTAGGACAATTTCTTAATTATTTGTGCTATTTTTTATGAGAGTTTTTTTAATCAAATTAATTAAGTGCTTCCAAACATCTTTTGACCGATTTGACTTCGGTAAAATTTTTTAAATACGCTATAAAATGTTCTTATGACATCAGCAGGTTTTCTTGTTTTTTGTTCGATACAATATTTTTTCCACACCTTTTATTCGGGCCCCTAATAATTTAATTGCATAAAAATTACTTTTTACTTTTTAGCAAAGAAATACAGTACAGTAGACCCCCTATAATTACAGAAATACATTAGCCAATCACAGCGTAGCACGTATGCAGTTTAGGGACTATGGCTGTTTGAAAGGTTTTCTTTCATAAAATTAATTGATCTTAGACTGAGTAATTTGACTCAACATTTCCAAAACACATATATTTTTGGGAATAATTCATATAAACTATGCTATAAACAAAAAATTGTAGGTTTACTTACCGAGTGTGCATTGCTTGACGATGCCATTGCTTAATCTTGTTTTTATTGTGGAGCGGCGCATTGAACAGCGAGCGCGTGTTTTCTGATAAGTTATTTTTATTAGAAAGATTCGCTGAACTTTGGAGACATCATTAATATAAATATAATTTGTATGGCCGTTAAATAATAAATTGTTTTTAGTAGGTCTGCTGCTACTTTAAACTCAACTGTTTGTGCAATATCCGTTATTGGTCTAAATTCGACCAATCTTGTCGTGACACGAGCTGGCGATGATGTTTTACCATATTATACGAGTTTCTTTTACCGTGTTTATACAAATACCATCGCAAATTTTTCCCCATGTTATATGAACCCAGGTTATAGGAACCAGTTTTATAGGGGGGTTTACTGTATTTGAACAGATGCGGTAAGTTAGCTTCCTTCCTGCTTTAAACCAATACTTCCCTTAGATATGGGGGAGATCGGGGCAAGATCGGCATGTTAAGCTTTACTTAAATTTTGTGTAATAAATACTGCTGTAAACTGAAAAAAAAGCTTTGCATATTGTCTATTGGAATGTTACCTTACTATAGAACTGGTTAAAATCAGTTTGGAAATAAAAATAATTAAAATAATTACAACTTTACAAGAAGAGAGAAATTGACGAAGTTGCCCCGGGTATAGGGGCAAGATCGGCAACTTCTCTCTTTTTGTAAAGTTGTAATTATTTTAATTATTTTTATTAAAGTTGCCCCTGGTATAGGGGCAACAGTAATGGGGCAAGATAGGCACGTATATAAAATTATGTTATTAACAATGTATAAGTTGGAATTCACTATTAAAACAAAGAAATACAAATCCAACACCCATTTAATATTATTACAACGAAATGCAAGTTCAAAGACATATATACATGAATAACAAATGCAAACATGTTTTCATTTATCATCTGTTTGATTTTTATCCTTTGCTTCTAATGTGGCTTTATGTTGCCGATCTTACCCCGCTAGTCATGATTTCGAAACATTAAGTACAACCCTGAGAACAGAATGCCAAGCCACGATCTGGCCACGTGAATAAGTTGAAGTTACATCCTTCTAACAGGAAAAGTAACTTTCGTTATCATGGAATTATAACAAAACCTGCCAATTCAATATAAATGGAAAAAAAATATTATATGGAATTGAACGAAAATGAAAATTTGCTTGATAATTCAACTACGCTTGTTGGAGAACAATAAAAACACTACACTCAACAAGCCACCAATAAAACTCAACTGCCTAACCTATAACCAAAGTCTCCTTTTAATTTGTTTTTTAAAAAAAGCGCTTGACACACTTGCCCCGCATGCCGAAGTTGCCCCGATCTCCCCTACTATACATGGGAACTAACCGGAAAAGCTGACAATAGCTGTTATCAAGGTCAACCAGTTTGTAAACAATATAGATTGCCAGTGTGAATTTTCACGCCTTGTTAAATAAAAGAATAAAAATACTTGCAAATGTTTTCAAATAAAAGTTTTTATTTTAAATTATTTTGTATTTTTTTATATACTTTTTTGTAAAAGCACTTTCTGGAAGTGTTTTTGTATTTTGCGAAAATTATTTCCCAGCAGTATTTATGGATGTTAGATTCGCGTTTGAGTGGAAATAATTATTTAATATATAAAATTAATTTTTTGGATTTCTTAGTTTCATTTGAAGAGAAACAAATGTAGCTAATGGGTTATATAATGTTAAAAAGATTATTTCGGATATTAGTAAAGATTAATCTTTTCTATAAAAAATGAAGTCGAAACAAGTTCAGGAAATAAAACCGTTACACACTTTTAATCGGTGTATAATATGAAAAATTCCTTTAATTGCAGTACAGTTTTAGTTAACAGATGTAAATTTACTATTAATTTTTTTATGTATTTAGTCCTAATGTTCTTTCAGAATTTATTAAACGTTGTTAGGTAGGAATGAAAGTAATTGAATGTTAATGTAAACAGGAAAAAATGCACAGGCATAGTTTGTTTTGATGTTTTTTTATTATTATTATAAAAATAGTTTATATGTAATGTGATAAAAAACAATGTGATAAATTTCGATAAGTAAACGAACGGTTAACAGATTCGTCTTAATGTTTTCTTTGTTCCAACCCATATAATAACTTTAAACTTTGACATTGAGAAAAAATCCAAGTAGGCACATGAAATGAACGACAGTATTAAGAACAAGAAGCAATCTATACCATAATACAGCAACTAAAGGAATAATTCCTTAGTTTGAAATGCAAGTAAGTGCAGACCAGTGGTCGATTCGATCGGCCGAAGGGCTGAGCGGTCAAGGTGGCAGCCTACCACTCTGGGGGACTCGGGATCGAATTCAGATGGGTCAACGAATCCCCAGGAATTCTTCGAGGAGTGGTCCGTTCGGATGTGTCGGGCCCCCATCCCTCACCACCTGGTCGCCCCATTGTTGCCTGGCCGAACCCATAATGTGCATACTATAAGAGGCCCTCTTAGTGCCCACAGGGCAGAAAGAGTATTAAAAAAGTGGCCGCTTCGATGAAACAACTCAATATTGCTTGATAGTGGATGATTCATGCATAATCAAAAACAGACAGGCCATGTGCAATTTTTAAAATTTTTTTCACCTATCAAATATTAAATTAGAAACCAGTTCCCTGATAGAAAGTACTTTAGAGAAGTGTCCCCTTGTCAGCTCTCTCAGATAATCCTTGTCTTCACCCAACAATCTTCATAATCCTTGTCTTCACCCAACAATAATTTCATAATTCTTATTATGAAATTATTTACGAATTACTTCAAGTGAAAAACTCTAAAAACTAATTTTAGATTTGTCTGTAAAAACGCACGTTAGCTCATTAGAATGTACAATAAAAATGGTAAAGTATAAACTATATAAAAAAACATATAAGATATAATTTGTGGCTTAATATACATTCGCATGAATTACATACAGGAAATAACTTCACATAGATATAGTAATTAAGGAAATTTTTTCACTCTTGACTGTGGTAAATCACAGAGATAAAGAGTAGCGATTGGTCAAAAAATCTTAAAGATTTTTTGTATACATGGATGTTACTTAATGTGTGAAAGGTGCACAATTTTCTTCACTCTTTTTGAAGTTGAATGACTCCTGTACTTTTTGTCGAAAATTTTTGAAATTTTACATGCAAGTTGTGGTATTTAGGAAATTAAATGCTATTAAATTTTGAATGTGAAAAGACGAGGAGATAAAGCAAATCGGGTGTATTTTCAGTAGGGCCAGATTAAATGATAAGTATACTTGTTATTCGCATTTGAATTTTTTTAAATAAAATTCATATGTACCCTCAAAAATACTTTAAAATATAAAAAGTTTTTCTTAGTAAAATATAATAACAGATGCAGATACAAAATGTTGCTGAAAAAGTTAATTAACTCGTTGCTCTATTTTTGAACTAAATATTTAATTTGTAAGTACTCTTGAACATATTCCTCCGAAGAAAGATAAATGTTGCGACGCTAATGTATTTTGTCCGAATATTATGAATTTTTATTTACGTTAAATTTCTTGAATGATTTTCCAAATACTTAAATTAGTGTTAAGTTTATGATCTTGTTTCTTGACACATCAATCTGAAATTCATTTAATACAGATACTTGTATTTCTCTGGCTCTTAACGTTAATGAGTCATGTAAAAAAATGTGATATCCCAAAAATATAATTTTCTTAAATTTTTAAAATACATTAACAAAATTTTTTTAAAGAATGTCGCGATTTTTTAGACATTCATAAAAATTTCTTAAATTATTCACATTGCTTCGGGACAGGGATCAAATAATGTTAGTGTATATTAATAAATTGTTAAAGAAAAGAGATGAAATAAAATGAAGAAGAAAGATGTAAACTCTTAATCTCTGATCTACTTCACAAATCTTTGAAATGCATAAAAAAAACTAAAATATCAATTTTTAATTACTTACAAGCAATGATGCATGAAGTCACGATATATGAAAAAATGAAAGGAGTATCCAAAAATAAGTAATGAAATATTAAACTTAAATGTTTACATTTAAATAATCGACAAATTTTAATGATATAGAAGTATCTACTTACATTTTATTAAATTGTTTTTCAAATTTAAATTGTTTTTTCATAGGATATACTAATGAATAAGTTGAAAACGATTCCTCTGAAATTACTAATAATTTTTTCTGTTCAATCGGTAATGAATTCACAATACCGATAGATGTAATGTATGCATGTTTATGTTGTAGTGTATATTCAATTCCTTCGTTTACTGTAGGAAAGGTCTTATCTTGGTTATTTCGTATGTAATCACCTAAAATGCTTGCCATTTCTTTAGGAGTATCCTGTATAATAAAAAAATCATTAACATGTTTTTTTTTACTTATACTAATCTATTTTTTAAATAAAACTTCTCCGAAATCGTTCCACTACATTTTTATTAATATATTTTATAATGTAATAGAATTATCCTTGATATTTTAATTTGTTCTCGACATGATCTTTCTTACGTATGTAAATCAATGTATATAAAAATAAAAATATATTAATAACATTACCAGCATCATTTTTTCGAATGCCGAATGTGAGAGAGTTCCACAAGAATATTCATGATTTTTGACTGCATTTGAGAGTTCTTCAATTGTTCTCGGTACTTTCTCATAAGCGGGATAAGTATTGTAAAAAAAGAGTACACCTCTGTATGCTGATATAAGTACGGTTGTCACCAGTAGCCAAATTCCAATAATAATTCTCGAAGAAGTGTATTGATCTTGTTCTATTTTATTTCCTACAAGAAATTAATATAAAAATTTCATTAAAAATATAACACAGAAGATATAAAATGTGTAATAATGCACATTTTCTATTTTTTTAATAATTTTGTCATAATATATTCATTATACAATAATATCAGCTAACGGAAAAGAACTTTTATCTTCAGAGAATAACACATTATAGTTTATAAAAAAATTAAGTTGAGAATCTGATAAGAATTACATAAACACGTGACGAAAATGAATATTTTAAACATATATGAAAAAGTTTAACATCGCTATTATGACCGTATTCTTAGAGAACTTCACGATCCGAATTTGACTTTTTACACTTGATTGGAATGTGTGCAGAAAATAATTTGCCACTACAAATCTAGCAATTTTCTTACATATTTCTCTTAATATTTCTTTTAGCACCACTCAAAGTGTCTAGCAATAATACAGTCGACCCCCCTATAACACGGTAGATACGTTCTGTTCTTTAGGAATCGATTTTGTACGAGTCCTTGCCAATTACAGCCCGACACGTGTGAAGTTTACGGACTACGACTGTTTGAAAGGTTTTCTTCTATAAAATTAATCAATTCTATACTAATTCGACTCAACATTTCCAACATACGTATATTTTTTGGAAATAATCCGTATAAACTACGCTATAAACAAAAAATTGTACAATTACTTACCGAGTGTGCACCGTTCGACGTCGCCATTGCTCAAGCTCGTTTTCGTCGCGGAGCAGCGCACCAAACCGCGGCCGCGATTTCTAATAAGTTATTTTTCTGCAAAAACTTCGTTGAACTGTGGAGACATCATTAATATAACTAATTTTTATGGCCGTTGAATAAGAAATGTATAAAATTACAGTACTGTATTAGACTTACGGTACCTAATCTACATACTGTACAGACGATAGTAAACAACTTACTCGCCTAAACTCTCTGTAGCGTGGCGCTGGACGGCAGAAAGTATATATATATAATTATAATAAAGTTACAATAAATTAAGGTAATATATAATTATATATACACTATCTAATTTATATATAATTAATGTATAATACTGTACAGACGATAGTAAACTCAATTTACCCGCCTAAATTCTCTGTAGCGTGGCGCTGGACGCGAAAAGTAGTTCGGCTGCCCGATGACGTTTTACGGAATTATAGAAGTTTTTTTATCAGATCTGTACGGATACCGTCGCAATTTTTTCGCCGTCTTATAGGAATCGTAATTATTGGAACCCGTGTTATTGGGCGGTCTACTGTATATTACTAGTAGCAGATATGCCCGGCGTTGTTCGGGCAAAGGTAACGATACCGAGGTTTAATATTACCACATTATAGCCAATCTTACCCGTTTTCTCAAAATGCAAGAATTCGGTCTCCCTGTTTCCAGACTAATTAGAGAATTTTTAGATGTGTCTAAAAATATATTCGATTTCCCGCAAAAACGTAAAAAAAACCGCATCTGCAACTGTAAATCTTGCACGTTGCTTTCTCTTAACACTTCCATTATTGTCACTTCCATTTTTAACACTTTTATTGTTGAAACATAGATTGTTACTTAACACTTTTAATGTGTTACGTAAACTTGTCCCTCTCCCCTCGTGGGGGTATTTCGAAAAATCCTTTTTTAGTGTGCGTTCTTGTGACGTATCCTTAACGTGTACCAAATTTAAACTTTTAACGGCTAACCGTTTGGGCTCTGCGCTTGTTACTATTATTATCATTTCACCTCGATCAATGAATTTCTGAAAGATTATTTTATATTATATTATATATATAAACGAATGTATGTCTGTGTCTCCTTCATGCATTACTATACTATTTATCCGATTGCCACGAAACTTTGGGAAGTTGTGTAATACACTTCCGCGAAGGTTTCTGGCATAGCACATTTATCCTACGGAAAGTGCCGCGGGTGTGTACGAGCATTTCATCGTGAGCATTTCAGCGTGGTTAGGAGTAGGAACTTGAAATTTGGTGCACAGTTAGGGTACGTCACGAGAACGCACACTACGAAGGGATTTTTTGAAATTTACTTCCGCGGGGAAAGAGACAGGATCAAGGCTTTAACAATAGAAGTGTTAAGTAACAATAGAAGTATAAGAATGGAAGTGTTAAGTAACAATAGAAGTATAAGAATGGAAGTGTTAAGTAACAATAGAAGTGTTAAGAATGGAAGTGTTAAGAGAAAGCAACGAGAAAGATTTTCAGGCGGTTTTCTGCGTTTTCGCAGAAAATTCAACATAATTTTAGACCCATCTAAAAATTTTCTAATTAGCCTGGAAAGAGAGAAACCTAATTCTTGCATTCTGTGAAAACAAGCAAGATTGACTATAATGTAATAATCTTAATTTTCGCTATTGTTACTTTTTGCTTAATCATNCCAATCACAGCCCGACACGTGTGAAGTTTACGGACTACGACTGTTTGAAAGGTTTTCTTCTATAAAATTAATCAATTCTATACTAATTCGACTCAACATTTCCAACATACGTATATTTTTTGGAAATAATCCGTATAAACTACGCTATAAACAAAAAATTGTACAATTACTTACCGAGTGTGCACCGTTCGACGTCGCCATTGCTCAAGCTCGTTTTCGTCGCGGAGCAGCGCACCAAACCGCGGCCGCGATTTCTAATAAGTTATTTTTCTGCAAAAACTTCGTTGAACTGTGGAGACATCATTAATATAACTAATTTTTATGGCCGTTGAATAAGAAATGTATAAAATTACAGTACTGTATTAGACTTACGGTACCTAATCTACATACTGTACAGACGATAGTAAACAACTTACTCGCCTAAACTCTCTGTAGCGTGGCGCTGGACGGCAGAAAGTATATATATATAATTATAATAAAGTTACAATAAATTAAGGTAATATATAATTATATATACACTACCTAATTTATATATAATTAATATATAATTATATGTACAGTACCTAATTTATATATAAT